TGTGGCTTGCCGTGTGGCTTGCCGTGTGGCTTGCCGTGTGGCTTGCCATTCGCAGTGCACATTGTCATTTTGATATACATATATATGTACAGCATGTGTCGTTTTCTGCTGCTGCTGCGATTCTAGCTTGCTGCTGCTGCTCAAGAATGTAGCTCTCTTCGCTGTTGTCCATGTGTTGTCTTTGCTGCAACTTTCTTTGATCTGCTGCTGTCATTGCGGATTGCCATTGATATTCTGTCACTATCTTGTTGCAGCGTGGCTCTACATGGTCTACACCATGCAACTTCGAAATGTGTTTTGCCCAAAAAAAACGGGATTCGATTGATACCGTCCGGGATGAGACCGACCTTGATCTCGTCCAATTCCTTCTTCAAAGCTGGAACCTCAATCGAAGGGTGGAGTCTCTTTTTCGCCGTGGTGAAAACAGGTGCATTGTGCCACTATGCACTCCTCCGTGAAACTGCCCTGCCTGAGACGCTTCTTTTTGAAGAGCTTCAACTTGCCGCTCATGCTCTTCTGACGCTGCAGAGCTTGCAGCCTGCAAATTGATCAAAATGGGTTCTGTTGTTCCATTAGCCCTCTGCGGTTCCATTGAAGGTTCCATTACAAACGACTTTCGGATGAGCAGGGAACAATCTTATTGCCCTTCTGAGAGTCTCCTGGATCTCAATGATCTTCTTCTGGAGCTCTGGTACCTGGCACAAGGGTCTATATGCAAATAAAACACCCAAATACTACAGATTAAACACACCTAGCTGGTGTTTATGACTTGTTTGTTATTTGGATGCCGAATCTTGCCAAATGTAGTTTTCTTGATTTGTTTTTAAAATTGGTCTTCTTCGGATTTCGCCTGGGAGGCCTCGGTTCCAAGCACTTCAGCTTCGCGCTGGTGTTCCTCCTTCCCAAATGCAAACCATACATGGCTGGTGTCAAACACACCTAGCTGTTTGCAATTTGGTTGACAAGCAATGCACAATGGCGCCATCTCCTGGATTCGTTCCAACTGATTCTTCAACTTGGGAACCTATGCAGACAAGACCTTGCTTTGCACTTCCACACTCCAAAGTCTGCTGCCCCAGTATTCATCAATCGATGTATTTCGAACAAACCACCAGTGCTTTTTGGTGTTTCATGCGGATTTAAACTATAGCTATGTATTAGATAACA